GTCTGACGGGTTAGAGGGTTAGTTTTTAGTTAACTCTAATACTCCTCCGGTCCTAATTATAAGACCCAATTGATTTATTTGAGGAGATTAAGGAAGTAAGTTAAGTTGGTTATTTATAATAAATAAGTGTTGTTATTCTTAAAATATCCTTGCTAATTAAGTATATTGGCTAAAATATCATTATTAGAAGGATTATCTTGGAAAAAAATGCATAAATATAAGAGAGAAAATGGATTGGGTCTTATAATTAGGACCAAATAAAAAGTCAAATTGGGTCTTATAATAAGGACCGGAGGAGTAGTATGTTTGGTTCAATTCCATAAAAGTTCATTACATGTAATCCTAATGTAATTGGCTGATTCAATTATTTGGTTAGGTTTTTGTAATGTAAAAAGAATTACATATTGTAATTCTAATTATCTTAAGTAGATATATGGGGGATTACATAGCTAAAACCCATAAATGAGGATGCAGAGCTCTTATAATCAAGTGGAAAATATTTTATTACCTTTATAATTTTTAAAATTGACCAGATTGCCCTTAATGAGAGACTCATAAACCCTATCAATTGGTACCAATTGTGTTCACACTGCAACTGCCTTTTTCCTCACTGTCGCTAATGATCATCATCGCGCTGGAAAAGTAATCATTCTTTGCCTCTTTCGTGTGGTTTTCTTTTGCGACAATCTTCACAATTTTGATGTGCGCTATATTCTTTTTTCATTTGTAGAGATAATAAATTAATATTAAATAGATTGGGTGCATATGAAGAGTATGCTTTTCTTTACTAAATATACCAATGGACCTATGCCCATTAAACATGAAACTTTATCAAACCATCTATTTAGCATTTTATGATTTTTGTCGCTATAAGCTGACCCTTCAAATTAACTTCAATTTTTTAACAAATCTTTTCAATTAATATTTTCTATTCAAAAGAAAAAGATTAACTCAGTCTTTTTTTCTTCCAAGATTGTAATTCTGCATACTTATCAAAAAGTTGGAGCTCATTATTTCAAAAGCACTTTTCAAAGGGTAATTTTGTCTTTTGGTATGTTATTTTTACCTATTTTCATGTTCTTTGTAATCCAATCAAACATTTTTATGCCTATACATCATCTTTCCTTAAGGACGTACCAAACAAGCTCATGTAATCATCATTATATTACATTTCATTACATTGCATTACATTCTCTATCATTCAATGAACTAAATGGGCTCTAAGGGTTAACCGGTTAAACCACCAACTACTTTTTTTTTAAAATTTTTTATTTTTTAAATATTTTTCTTACACAATATAAAAAATATAATGAAATTTTTATCTTTTCTTCAAATATTTGATTAAAAACACTAAATAAATAATATAGGTATTTTTTAAATTTTTGGATAGAATATAAGATATAATAATATACATATAGTGATTAATAAAATTTAAAAAATATAAAAACAATAAATATTGGTTAGCCTGTGGGTTGGCAGGCTAACTTACAGCGGATTGTTAGTTAGACAGTATAGGTTGAAAAATTTTGTTTATTGACAGGTTGATTTTTAACCAACTCCAACCTATATTTTTTTTTTTGGAGATTAACGGGTTGAATCCACTGATGTAACCCATATTACAAGTTTTCCTCCTACTAAAATAGTTTTGGTGTAGATTGTTTCCTCTCATTAGTTGCAAAAGAATTTTGAAATTTGTTTTATTATTTAAAAAAAATGAGATTTAATGAAATGAAACTTTTTTCAGAGGTTGATATTTCATGCCATTTGCTTAAAACGGCATCGTTTCCATACTGATCATCGATCAAAGGCAAATTGCTACCCTCAAGCAGAAGCTGAAGAAGCTAGTGGAGATTGGAGAAGCTGCCATTGCTGAACTTGGTGCAACGGTAGCCCATAATGAACACTTGCACAACTCTTCTTCGCACATCTCTCTCTTCTTTCAAATGCAGCCTTCGGTCCACTCCACCCACTCTTCCTGCGCTTTCTCCCGCCTTTTTGCGCACTTCAGGATTAAGGGTTGCTTCCCCATGTTACGCCTCAGCTCAGGAAGCTACTTCAGTCGAACCCATTCACATAAATGACCAATCTTTATCCGAAAATCCCATCATCGAACCCTCTGAAGACCAACCCAACGACACTGTCGAGCACCTGCTCACGCACACCGATGACGTTGCTAGGTTGATGAAGATGGAGCGCAAGACCCTTCATGATGATGCATCTCGGTGGTTTCCATACATTGACAGGTTCAATTGTCAAAATACTTATGTCACAAGTAGTGAGATTCTGGAGGCGGTTGGTCCGTGCATCTCCGATGTGAGGAAGAAGAGGTTCAGGGATGTGGTCCACAACCGGAGCTATTCTGTTTGTTTGGTTGTCGAAGGGCTTAGTGATTTTGGGAATGTTTCTGCTGCATTTCGCTCCGCTGATGCCCTTGGGTTCCAATCCGTTCACGTCGTCTCTTGTGACAGCTCCAAAAGGTGTAAAGACAATTGAGGTGAAAAAAAACTTGTTTTGATCGTTGGATGTGTGACTTACCTGGTTTAGGATTTATTGGCTCTGCTTGCTTTATAACTATTTTTAGTTTCTATTAATTTGTTTCCAATACCCGCCATTCTGTTTTCGTACTGAGAGAGGAACATTGTGATCAGCATTCATTTATTAGCCATTCGATAATTGTAAGTTTTTGTCTATTTAGACTGCTATCATAAAGCTTTTCTTAATTATTCAACATTTGAATGTCAGGCTTTAATATTCATGGGCATGTAGCTTTCACATCTAGAATGCTCTTGTTTTGTTTTTCTAGTTATGTCAAATGCATTTTATTCTTCTATTTTGCCCCCTTTTTTTTTATGGTTTATGAGTGTAATGTGATTTAAATCAGTTTTCTACTTTCCTTCTACCTCGAAATGAATCATTCTTTTCCATTTTGCACATATTGCTTGTGCTTTCTACAACTTACAATTAATATAATGTTGAAGTCAATCATGACCCCGAATAGTGTACCAATTAAGCCCACCGTCCCACACCTTCATACCAGATATTCAGCAAAGTGCTTCACTCTCTCCATGTACCAAATATTTCATGAAGCAGAATCGTCCCTCTGCCAAATATTTATTAAAGTGGCATGCCTTGCTCTCATAGGCTGATACCACCTTTCTTGTGAAGCACTGCACCTAGTCTCTTACAATGATACAAAACAGATGCTTGTCATGAGAATCATGAGAAGATGCTTCATTCAAATTTCACCTGCATCAATCATCAACCTATTAACCTGCCTTGACATTTCAGGTACAGAGAAAATCGCCATGTGAGCATGGGTGCTGAGAATGGTTGGACATTGAACTGTGGGATTCTACAAAGGAGTGCTTTGAAGTGTTGAAATCTCGTGGTTATCGAATCGCAACAACACATTTGGGATTGGATACAGTACTGTTTGAGCAGCTTGGTTTAGTTTATACAAGCATTTTGCATATATTTGTGTGTTCTATGCACTTGTAAATAAATTTCACTGTATGCAATTTCCTGCTATGTACAGGTTTCCATTTATGACTTGGACTGGTCATGCCCTACTGCAATCATAGTCGGGAATGAGAGTAGGTAATTTGATTCATGCCCTTCATCTCACTTGTGTAAGAGCTTACCGATGCCTTGAAGAAGCTGCTTTGTTTCAAGTTTAGGCTTTAAATGGACATTTTGAATGACTGATTAAGTCATTCTGTCATTGCACACGGAAATTACCCATGTAATACTCTAAAGTTATCATTTCTGCTGGTCTGCGTCTCCAAATATGATCTAATTTAAATGTCATTGGTTCTTTACTTAGTGATTCATCAACAATTAGTAGTCAGAAGATATCAGACAGCCTTGGAACTTAACTAAATGTCGAATAGTTATCATATCTCTTAGAGCATGGAGTTCATTTTTGTATTGAGTTTTTGTATTTGGTCAACAGAGTTTAAGGTGTTATTGCAGGGGTATTAGTGATGAGGCTTTGGAGTTGTCTGATTTGCACTGCAGTATTCCCATGAAAGGGATGGTGGACTCTTTCAATGTTTCAGTTGCCGCAGGAATCCTCATGCACCATGCTGTTTGTGACCGAATATCTCGGATGGTAATGGTTGTAGTTTTGTGCTCTATATGGTACATAAGGAACTATCAATCTAATTTATTTATTTATTTATGGTATGGTGGACCATTTTGGTCAGCCTGTTGCGTCTTCCATCTGAATCAAAGAGCTGGTATGCTTGTATGAGAATAAAGGATTTAAACACGGTTTTGTATCAAAATTTGACTAAATTTGCAACCGCTCCTGTGCCTTCAAGGCTTCTTCATCTTGTTGTAAAGTTACATCAACCGGTTTTAAATCTTGATCATCATGATTGTGCTGAATCTGACGATACCTTGATTTATTGCAGGGTTGTCATGGTGATCTGACATTGGAAGAAAGCCAAATCTTACTTGCCGAGTTCTCATTGCGCCATAGCAAGAGTGCCATTAGTATTGTCCATGAATATGCAAAGCGCAAGTCAACTCTGTTGACCTGAGATGAGAACTATAGCAGGAACGTGACATTCCTAATCAGAGACTGGCAAATCTTCCAAGTAACTTCACACGACTGATTCGTACAAACTGGCACGGCAAACACACCAGTGTATTAGGTTTACCAAGGACAGTGTGGTGCTTACTATAGAATACAAACACCTTTTTAGAATGACGACTCTGCATGATTAATCCATTCTTACTCTTATTCTTTCCACCACATTTTCTGTTAGCATGTATCTGTTTTGCAGTATTAACCCAAAAAAAAGTGAAATCTGTCATTCATCGATATTTGAAACAACTTTTTGTTTGCTATAAAATAACTTTGACAAACCGAATTACTCGAGTCATGTGTTGTGATTTATTTTTCAATTTTCCTGCCGTATGTGACTCTTTAATCTAAGAAAAAAAATTTATCAATGCAAAGGTTAAAAGTAGAGGTACAAGTTGTAACGATCCCATTATTGATAAAACTACAATGTACTACCCGCACGATGCGCAGAGAGATTGTAATTAAAAAAAAATGTTATCTTTTATTTTATTGAGTAAAACATAGTAACATAAACTAAAAAATTCTAACCTTGTTAACACAAAAAAAAAAAAAAAAGAAATTAAATTCTGTCCTCTATTATTTGCCACGCATGCTTCTTCAATCCATTTATGCTTTTCAATCTCGACAGTGCAATGTATGATAAATCATGTATGAAAACTGGCTTTAGTAAATGGATCCCAATATGACAAAGTGATTGTACTTGATTTTTGTTGATAGTCATAGCAAAACATGGATTGATTGAGAATTTCCTCCTTCACATACGAAATTGCCATCTGCTTTCTAAAAGATTCATGGCCATCTGATTAAACACTTCAATTTGGTTTGATTTCATTCATATGCAAGGGTGCCAATGTTCGGTACCTAAAAACAATATCATAAAAGAAAATCAATTAACCTAAATTAGTCAATGGCTTATAATAAAATTTGATATCAAAGGTTCCTAAAAATGACCAAGAAACAACTACTCACATCTGCTAATGTCAAAATGTTTCATGACATTCAGTAAAGATAATACTTGCATTAAAGAAATAAACTCGACAATATAAAGTGGGTGTCTTGAGTACTGTTCATTAAGTAATGTGTAGGTCAAAGTTGAATGCAAAAAAAATTTGAGAAACACATTCCCAACACATTATACAGGAGTGTCAAAACTCCATAAAATGAGAAAGAAAGAAATTGAACACCTTGAAATACATTCCAGAAGAAAATACTACCTCCACAATGTCAATACCACAGTCAACTCCTTGAAAGCAAAAATATTAAAACACACATAACATATATATCAAATATAAATTAAGCAGAATACCTATGGTCTTCATCACGTCGGAGGAAGTTCCATACCAAGACTACTTACAAACAGGAATAGCAAACCCCACTCCTACTTGGAACACCTAAGGGGAGTCTGCGGTCCAACTCAAGGCACCCACGAGCAAGGTGAACAAAAACAACAGATTGATTATAAAAATTATGAATTAAAACATTACATGACAAAAACTTCATAATATTTAGTTGTCAAAATGTCAAATAATGCAAGTAATGCGGTTAAAACCAACATATCGTCCCATTCATGATCGCATAAGATATTCAGGAATTAATGATAAATTCAATAGGTCACCTTGCACTATGTCAAACACTCTAAAGTCCACTTACTGATACAGGCCACTAACACAAACCATGACCAACAACCACTTTTAATGTTGTTGTTGGGAAAGCGTCTTATAAGAGAGGTGACAACTATGCAGAAGAAAACCAAGCACATGAACATAAGCATATTAGGAGATTGCCCAAAAATTCAGGAATCTATATTTAAAACTCACTGAGTGTTCATGGGAACCTATCTGTCTCTCGAAGACCTTGAAATAGTATAGCAGAAACAGTGCAAAGATCAACTCTGGAGTTGCTGAAAAAGCAAATATGGACTTCATCAATTTCCAGAGGCAAAGTTTTCAAAATATGTCTTGAGAGATAGGGAACAATATAGGGTAAGGGTAAGCAGAAATTGTATGAGATGCACGTCTTTTACACTTTTCATTTTTAATGGAAATCAACATCAGTGAGATGATTCTTTATTAATATTCTTCTTCTAGACTTGTTAATCGGTAGTAAGATCTAAAAAACAACTTATAAGGAAAACGAAGTCTACTAATGAAGTTCTGATTTATACCAAATGAAAATTATACCAGACTCGACTTTATCATCACAAATTGACAACTTGCACGCCAAGTACCTGAACAATGGGAGCAAAAAGTATCAGCGACCCATTTTGAAATAAATAGAAGTATAAATTAAACTGCACATTGAAGGATTAAGAACAAAACATCCTCAGGAGTCAGATGTTATTTTCATATTGAAATGCCCAACGACCGGTCCAGTTTAATAATATAATATAATGAAGATGAAAACTATCAATTTGATCCTCAATTGCATTGACATATATTAGTAAATTTATTTGACACCAGATACTTATTCAGAGAAAGTAAAAATAGATCAATTAAATTGAGAAGATCACCTGATAAGACAATCTCAGTGTGTTATAACGATCTTTGATCTCGAAGAAGATAGTGAAAAGCGTTGAGGTGATAATGAAAGCCTTGTCATGGGAGCATTAGCTGTAACAAACACTATTGATTAAGTATTTGATTCATGAATCTGAGAGAAAATACTTCCAATAAGCACACCCAAATGATTATAGGGTTAGAGAGAGACAGTACGCACTAAAAACAAATGGACCACCGTTCATCTTCTTAGTGAAGTAGAAAGCAATGGGTTTTGCCTCACGATTTGCCTAGATATATGTCTTGCTCACTATTTTTGACTCTATGGGTTGTTTTTCTCGCACCTTTTCATGTGATTTGATCTCTCCTTTTTAGTAAACTCATGGAACCCTACTCCTAGTGCATCCCCCGAGCAACATCAGAGGCTCTCTTTAGGTTGAAACAGTGACTTGGTAAAATTTCTCGGCCATCACTAACAACGACTAAACTGATAATGAAAGGCATAAAACTAAATTCTAATTAAAAAAAATTTAAGAGGAACATAAATGCCTGAGATGCGGGATTGGTTTACTGTGTCATTCCATTGCTTTTTTAGCACCACCATGGACGGCATATCCCCACACTATCCACACACTTACGGGGTGCCAAGCCACCAATTTACATCACCTTCTAACACTGGGCCAGAGAGATTTGAATCTGAGGTGAGGAGAACGGAGACAAAAGGAGAGAAAAGAAGAAGCATAAAGGCACTGGCAAAAGAACAATCCAAAAGTTTCTTTTTTTTTTTTAAATTCTTGATCTTAGTGGCACTGGAAAATCCTCTAACAGGACAAACATTTGTGACGGGAGGTTTAAAATTTAAAATTTGAAAGTCCCAACCAAGCCGTGCAAAAGCCACGTACATGCATTAAATGAAGTTAGCCAAATAGAAGCCCAAGATTTATATTATTTTAATCAAATTGGCTTATGAACAGTAATATGTGTCTGAAGCCATTAGTAAGCCGTTTTAGGAATTGGCTTGGTGGAAGAGTTTTATTGTATGTATTGATGATGATTGATATTGATGATGATGTTATTTTCACCCCTAAATATTTTAATCTAATGTTTAATCACCGTCATAACTCATCATTATTACATAAAATTAATTTATAAAGTCAACGACTGGAGTGAGTTGTAGGAGATATGACTATGTCAAAACTGAGTGTCTTTCATATTAAGCATAATGAAACACAGTAGAGGAGCTATTTGGGGCGCCCCAAAGGCATTTCCTAAATTCCATTTGTACACGTCACTGGCATTTGGCTGCCAACTCGCAACTGAAATAGACAAGTTTGCAAGCCCTTTTCTTTCTTTTTTCCAGCCAGACATTTCCTGATCACTAGCTTTCATTTTTAGCAAAGAAACTAGTTAAGTTAAGAAATTAAATTTGATTTTAAATATAAACTTTAATCCATTTTATTCTTCAAATCCAAAAATCTAAAATATCACACATGAAGAATGTTTTCATCCAAAGGTAATTAAGATTAAAGAGGGCATTTTAGAGGGAAACAACAACTCATTTGTTACCCTAAAAAAAACCAATTTAACTAATTTTTTTAATATTTACAAATTAATTATCTGAAAAAAAAAAAAGAAGAGGTAGTACCTCATATTCTGGGACACCCAAACTTAATGCGCAATCTCAAGCTCTTTGGGATCTTGTAAATATAACATTTAACATTTAGAATCCCAAACTTTTGTGCCTTGTGTAGAATAAAATTTGAATTCGTAGTCAAAATTAAAATCACAAGTTCTTCACCCAACTTGCCAAAATATCTTTACAGCTTCAACTACTAACGACTAGATTACATTATACAAAAATAAATGAAACTAAGATCCACATCTAGCATTATTATGCAGACCACAAGAACCAAATTCTTCATTCCAAAAGCTATGAAACCCTGAAAAGTTCCTAATCAATCAACATTTCCTCATTCGTGGTCTGAATTGCGGCCTTGCTACTCTGCATACTTTGGCCTTTATCATGTTTCTTCAATCCCTGGGACCTCACAAACTCCTCAATTCTGGCCTTCAGTTCATCATCAGGAATCAGCATATCGACAGTGAGGTGAGAACGATTGAATGGGTCAGTCTGTATAGACAACCATATTGGCACGGATTAGAAAAATTAATTCCCCCACCGAATAAATGACTAATGAAGGAGATAAGATTAAAGGGGTACGCTATCACTCAGAAGATGCCTCTGGATGACAGGACGATCAACTGTGATCCTTGAAGAAGGTAAGATAACCGGATCTTTCATCAGAGTGTACTGCAATAGAAAGAAGGTCAGATCTCTGAGCCAACATTGAGACTTCCGGAGAAGGTTTAATTGACAGCCAAGAACATGAGCGCCAACACCAACAACAACACCAACACCAAACACCCCCCCCCCCCCAAAAAAAGGGAAAAAAAAGAAAAAGATCCTCTACATCAACCCATTCCCAATGCAGCGTGAGCATAGTATAGATTAACTAAGTTAGTCACCAATTACTCTTATAGCAGAGTTGCACAGAGAAGCCTGAAATATACCTGAATCGGATCAAGGAATTCATCTGGTATTTCCCCTAAAGCAGCTTCAGCATCCATGGCCTCCGAAGCAGCCACTTTTGCTTTAGCACCGAGTTCAACAAATTCATGTATAACTCTTCCATCCTCACCTATTCTCCGAAGGACATCTGCTGCAGCACTAAACAGCTGCAACAAAACTCCAAGTGTCAAATTGCACTGGATTATAGAAATTCAGAGCAGGGGAATAAGTCAAAAGACAATAACCTGATCATTGTATGATCGACCATCCTTGGAGATGGCAGATGGGAAGATGTTGTTGGTATCACCTCTGGCTAGATGAACATAAATGTGCACAATCTTCAGATGGGAGAAACATATTGGAATCAGTAATTATCTTTCCAACCATGATGTAACACAAACATGAATACGGCATCTCATCATAAACCATTGAACATGTACTCCAAGTAGGTTCAATTTGGAAGGCTAGAATGAAATGAAATTGAAAATTCCAGAGTAAATTTTAAAATATCATCGTATCAAGATGTAGTTCTCAGTGCAGCTTATAACATAGATGAAACTAGCAAGAAATACAGCAGAAAATTATAATTAAATAACAATAACTTTGCAACTTAATTTATCAATTCCCCCTTCTCTCTTATTATGACCTCCAAGTTAATCTATGATATATTATAAAAGCTTTAATTCACTTTAGATCATGTATTCGTTCAAATCTACAAACAGAAACATGAATTCAATTAATTTATTACAAAAACATACAGACCACCAAGAAAATCATATCATCTCTCCTGAATCCTCTCAAAAATCTCGCAGAAGAAAAAAGGGGCAAATAAATTAAAAATAAGGCTTCAGATATAATCAATGCCAACCTGCTTAAGCAAATGCTTGGGACGGAATTCATACTTTTCAGGATCTTTCAGACTAAGTGATTTTCTTTGGGGACCCACCAATTGCAGAAGAAAGTAATTGAGCATGCTGGCCACTCTTTCAACCTTGGGGAAAAAAAATGAAAGCATAATTATATTAATAAGTGCAAAAGAAGAATGACAAAATTTTAGGAAAATATTTGAGATTATCCATTGAATAAGCTTCCATTAGATAGCAAATGTTGGAGTGATATAAAGAAATTACCATCTCAGGAAGAAGGAAAGGAGCAGTAATCTGCTCTGAAGTAAACGCAAGCATACTGACATCTTCATTTGCCAACTTCATATCTATTCTAATAATCTACAAAATCATCCAGTAAACACGCTTTGTTCAGTGTCTATAATTCAAAAACAAAAGCAGATATTATTGGATATACAAATCAGACAAACATTTTCTTGTGAGTGGAATAGCCGGGTCCTCTCCTGCCTTTCTTGAGCTGGTCGACGCTCCCATTCACTGGTATTTGACATCTCAGCTTCCAATTCTTTTAGCTCAAGAATTTTGTTCAAACTTTCATCTAGAAGATAAATACTATCATTGATCAAGAAGTTTAAGAAATTTAGATAGACGCCCTTTTCCTCTTCTTTAGCAATCTGGGGGAGAAAAAAGGAAGGAAAAAAAATATCAGCAAATTAGAAACACATACCTGTGGTGTGAAATTACAATCTCAAACACTCTTTCCGGTTCAAAATACAGGCATCAAATAACTAAATCAAGCAACTCAAAAAGGTTGGCTAAAATTGGTTAAAGATAATATATATGTAAAAATTGCAACTTATTTTCCCATAATACCTTTATTATGGAGAGGGTAAGCGGAAGAAAGAATGGGTGGAAAAAGAGAAGAAAGAATGAAAAAACGATATGAGAGAGACATATAATTAATTAGAGATAAAAATGGGGGAAAATGCATTAAATGATTAGACATTCAAATTGCATTTTATTTAAAAAAATTAAAAAAAAAAAAAAACCAAGCCCCTCAAAGATTTGATGTTTATATTTTGAACCAGAGGAAGTATATTTTATACAGTACCTGTCTCCAGGCATTACGATGACTAGGGACCTGCCACAGGTATTCTAGCAGTTCGGCAATATTATGGCGGATATTAAACTTGTCATAAAACTGCAATGCAAAAATGACGATTAAGGAAATCTTGTACTCAGATGAATGGTATCAGTTACTGCAAGATTGTAACCCTTGTAAAATGTACATGTAGATATGCACAGGTATTTAGGAAACCACACTGGGAGAATTCCAATAATATGACATATAAATGGAGGAAACGTTAGAAATACACTTCTACATTACCCCTAACATTGTTAATCAGTCATAACCTTTTTGTTATAATAAAACAAGTTTTATTTAATGCCATATAATTGTACTAAGTGAACAAAATACAAGACCTCAAATAGAACGCTTTATTAATACCCAAGCTTGAGATTCAATGCAATTATCAAGAAAAAGGGTGATTTAAGAACAATTTTGATAAGTTCCTTTCATTAATCCAGAAACATACAGCATAAGATACACAATCGGCTGTACGTCACCAAGATAGCCATGAACCGTAGCAAACCTGAGTGTGAGAACCAGTAAACTCAATG